GGAGTCTGCTTCTCCCTCTGACCCTCCCCCCTCTCATGTGCTCTCTCTCATTCTCTCTCTCTCAAATAAATAAATAAAATCTTTTAAAAAAATAAAATTAAATAAATAAATTCAAGTGACTCCCTGCTCCTCCTGTTCCCGAAGAGGTCCTTAGTCTACTGATCGAAGCTTTACAACAGACTTTAAGAACACTTGATACAAAGAGACCCAGCTGCGCCCCTTCCCTCCTAGATCTACAAGCAAAGGCCAGGCTTGGAGTGGCTTCTCTAGCCTCTCCAGCCCTGCGGTGGAGAGAACTCAAGCTAAAGGCATTGGTAGCAAGCCGAATCCCTCAACAGTCATCCTGCTTCTTTCCTCTGACCACTCAGAACCTAGGACCACGCCTTGGCCCACCTTCAAGGGTACCCTTCCCCATTGGGTTCCAGCAGTTCACCAACAGAACTGGGAAGCTGGTGATCCGCTGTCCCATCGATGGCTCTCCTTCCTCCTCTGCTCTGGGCACTTGGCTGCCCAGCCCACTTTGGGTCCGGGTTCTGACCAAGTATTCTCCCAGAACCAGTTAGCTCAGTTTGCACACCTGCTTCAGTCACCCTGGCCGAGGCCTTAACTGGCCGGCACCCCTGCGCACCTGAACGGTATTTCTTTTTCTTCACACGTTCTGCTTGTTCATTCTGGCCCTGCCGGCGTGGGCACCGGCTGACTCCACTCTTCAGTTTCTCATTTGAGATATCTGCCTGCTCTCTGACCTGATCTCTCTTGGGCCCCTGGGACTCAGCATTTCAACCTGAGTCTCCTACTTTTTCAGTTGTACTCCATGAGAGGATCTGAAGCCATTAGGGCTGGGGAAATACACATCAATATTTTAGTTATTTTCATATTTTCCAAAATTTCAGACTCAAGAAACCTATATCCGTCAGAGTTATAGAACAACAGATTGCACCCTCTCCCCCTTCCTCCCCAAAGCTGCTGTATCTGGAAATGATGGATCCCTGAAGACTCTTAGCATTTTTAACTAGCAGAATGAAGAACTCGCACGATTACCCGGGCCTCCCCAGCCACTGTTATCCATCCACATGATGAACTCAGATTACCTTTGGCCCAGGGTCCAATGTAAAGAAGGTAATTACCAAAGCAATTATTTACCGTTCTAACATTTTACCATTTCAGCTTTTAATTAAAAGATTCAGCTTTTCCTTCTAGAGTAATGAGCACCTTTAAAAAGTCGAAGTACTGATTCCAGTTTATAACATTCACCTCTATTCTGTCTGAGCAGGAAGGGAGGGGATTGCAGGCTGAGGTCCAGGATAATGACGTGAAATGGAAGACCGTAATTATGGCTCAGTGGCCAGAGCCAGACCTCCGTAGACTCACTGCCTCATCATTCATTTTGTAACCTGATACAGAAGAGCTTCCCTTGTTATTTCAATAAGGAACTGCTACAGCATGAAATGATTGAGACTATGTGCGGTTCAGACCTTCAGCAACATTCCCTGAGTATTTCTGAAGCACCTACTAAGTGCAGAGTGCCTTGAAGAGGTGACTTTCACATGCCCTCTGAGCTTGTGGCCTACTAGCGCGGCCTGGCCTCCCGAGGCGGGGTGTGAACATTTTCAGGAAGGTGTCCAGGTGTGTGGGAGTGGGTCCCTAGCCTGTCACGGAGAAATCGCAGCCCTCCCAAACCTGCACTTACTTGCAAACTCTGTTTTTGTTGGCAGTTGGTTCTGTTTCTTCCCAGTAATTATTTTTTTCACTTGTTAATGAAAAACATTACATTTGGAAACTGATTAATGTTAAAACACATACTTCTTCACTTTAACAATATATTATGTTTACCCGAGTTCACAGCTTCATATTTTGCTGTTCATTACCACGTAAAAACTCACTCAGTATGATAAATACCACACGAGTCAAATGTCCGGCCCATTTAAAATGACTTAAAGGAGAAAAGGCAAACAACTTTTAGCTGATTTGATTGAATTAACACTAACATTTTTGTTCTATTGACTCTTTCTTGTCCATTGATTTTTAAAAGCCTTTAGCTCCCTTGCCATCCATTAAGACAAATCAGGTGCAATTTGGTGCTCAGGACAAGAAAATGGCGTTCGGTGTACGCATGGAAAAAAAATTGTCTATGTGCTGAAACAAGACTGATTAGAAAGCCAGGGGTCATAACTTCCCTGCTTTTGACCTTCAAGATTAACAATAATGACCTTTGTTTTAGTATGTGAACACCTGGGTCAGTAACAAGTGAAGCCAAATGGTGATTTGTAGAGGATGTAGTTTATCTCTTATTTAAGGTGAAAGTAAACTAGCTAGAATTTCTGTGTTCTCCTGTCTTTCAGTATTTCATTTTCTTTATTTGCAGAATTTATAGACTAATAAGCAACTGAACTAAAGCAAGAAACAAGGGGAGCAGCGAATATATTCTGTTGAATTAACAGTGAACAAATTTTAAACCACAGAACCATTTGTATTATCAAAATAGCAATGAGCAAGAAACCTGAGATCTGGCCTGGCCTGCTGTCAGTCAACGTCATGATTAAAAGTGAAGGTCTCAGCTTAAATAAAATCAATGTGGCTTTCAATTAAACAGGGGTGTTTATACTAATGAAGCCCTGTCTTTTGCGGGGAGCAATTCATCCCTGAACAACTGGATTGATACCTTTTTCTTTCTTTTTTTTAAATGATATTTTTTTTCTTTACACCTAGGGGTGGGGGTGAAGGGTGAGAATCTATTTGTTGTCCACCACACTGGAAGAAAATTCTACTATGGTCAGTGTTTTGATGCAGTGAAGGGTACGCTTACTTTGTGTTTACCATTTGCCCTCTTCTGACCTCTTTAAAAACACTTTTGTTGAAACCTGAAACTGCCTTCATTTTGGAAACGCTATTAACTCACATTAAGAGTCCAGAAAAGTTTTAGTTTCAACTGCTGGAATAATGGAGGAAATGGGAAACAAACAAGAACCATCACCCATGTGACATTCTCTAAATTTGCTTGTGATTTTCTAAATTTCAGTGCTAGCAAAAAAGCAAGTTGCAGCAAGGCATACAGTAAATGAAGATATTATGTATTAGAGAAGGAATGAATCTGTCACTTTGACGGATTGTGAGGCGAAGAGCAGATTAACAGATTACTCATAGTCAGAAGGCAGCTCAGTGTGAAAAATGTGCAGGAAATGATAAGTGTGGGTTTGTGCTGATTTAATGATATTTTTAAACTACAATAACATTCTGGTAGTATAATATAATAAAGCACTTTGCTTGCATTTTTAAATCATCAACATATTTTCAGTTTGACCTTAAAAACATTTTGGACCATTCTCTATTAAAATATGTAGCTTTCAAATTAGAAAAAGGTACCATCTGAAATATCAGAGCAATGACCTTACGGGAAATTGCCTTTAGAAGCCAGTTCTTTCCTAAACTAGAATTTGTAATACAAATTTTAATTATGTTTTAAGTATACAAACACCACACATACTTTCTCTTTGGGCATTTAAATCACTTACAACAAGAAATTGTTATCTCCTTAAGAACCATTTCCAGTGAAATGCTTCATTCATGCAACTGATGTGTCTTCATATTTTCTTTGCAGGTTTTTAGTTTTGTAGTTGAGATCATGGAGGGTTTATGAATAAAACTACTGTATTTTTCCACAGATGGTGGATAAAAGCCGTTCAAATTTTAATTGAGTACTCTGAGTCACAGCAAAAAATAAGATGAATTACTTGTCTTATTTTATATTATTACAAATATTTACCAGAAAGCAAAACTTTTTTAAGAGGTTTCCATTTTTATATAAATAAAATTGGGATTTGAGGAGCACACTTTTAATTTGACAGTGATGGACTGGCATTGTCGAGAATTTTCAGAATAAAATCTCTGTAATTCATTTAAATGATTTTTATTCTAACATCTTAATATTCAAAACCTAATGTAAAGATTGAGTTGTTTCATATCTTCTCTCAGTTCACCAGTGATGGCTTGACATAGTTAGGTACAGTGAAACTTGTAAGATAGTAAAATATTACATTTTCTGTCTAAACACTTGTATCTAACCCAAGTAAATAAATGTACTAACATGGCATGCCAAGGGCTTGAATCCCCGACATAATTATGATTCAAACTATGTTTTACAAATACAGTGAAGACTTCTACAGAATTCAGCATGTTTTGTACATTTCCCCTCTTCTAATATAATAATACTCTGAACTTGGGGTAAGTAATCAAGCTGGTGTAGAGATAGTCAGTATTCTTCTTGGTAGAAACTCTGAAATAAATGCAACAAAAGCAGTTTGCATGTTTTCTGGCTTCCTTGCATATTTACTGTCTGCGACAGTTACTAACATGCTTTGCCAGCTTTTCCCAGATCTCCCAATGCCAAGCACATTGCTGGATTGCATTCCTAAGTCCACCTGGTTTTGGATGGAGCCAATTAGCCCAGCCAGTTCTAACCAATGCATTGTGGGCACAAGAGCCTCTGTTGTTGCTTGGCTGAAACATTTGACTGCAGGTGTAAGACCCTGCAGAGTTCTTTTTCCCCCGCCACCTACCAGCAACATTCAAGATAGTGGTTGTTTATGTCAGCCTGGTTGCTGAATGACTTTGATAAACAGTTCCCCTGCTCATCTGTTATAGATGTTTAGCATGAGGAGGAAATAAACCTTTGTTGTTTTTAAGCCACTGAGATTTGGGGGGTTGTTTGTTACCAAGCATAACAACCTTATTCTACCTGACTGACACAGTTACTAGCTAGCTATGACATTGAATGTATTTTATCATAGGAAATACAGTGTTTAATATACTTTCATATTTGAAGATTTAGAAACAGGTTAAAATCGTTGAGCTCATTATGGGATTCATTGGCATATAGTAGAATAAGTGGTTTTAGGAAGTGATATAGTGTACTGGTTAAAAGCCCTATCTCTGGAATCAAAATGCTAGGTTTGTATTCTTGTGAATTAAATTATCTAAAAAATAGAGATGGTATTTTACTACCTCCCTTATAATGTTATTATAAGGATTAAATGAAATATATGTTAAAGTGTTTTGCACAGGGCCTGGCATATGTATTTCCATTAAATGGTAGAAAGGGGGGTGCCTGTGTGGCTCAGTCAGTTAAGCATCTTCCTTCAGCTCAGGTCATGATCTCCAGGTCCTGGAATAGAGCCCCCCATAGGGCTCCTTGCTCAGCTGGAGCCCTCTGCCTGCCGCTCCCCTGGCTTGTTCTCTCTCTCTCGCTATCTCTCTCTCTCTGTCAAATAAAATCTTAATTAATTAATTAATTAATTAATTAAAATAAAATAAAATAAATGGTAGAAAGGGGTGGTAGTGGTGGTAGGGGTATTAATAGGAATATTAAGAATATAAAGTTTTCAAAAAAGAAAAAAGATCACAGTGTGAGAGAATCAGAGAATCCTGGAGAGTTAGAAGAGATTACAAAGATGATTTAACCCAGCATCTCTCCAAAAATCTCCTCTGCATGTCTTTGCCAGGGAGGCACGCTCAGTGCAGCATAAAGCAGCCCCTCCATTATTGAGCATCCCTTAGACTGAGCTGACATCGGTTTTGCAATAGCTTGATAGCTTCTCCCTCTCTTTCAAGAACAATAATTTGAGTCGTCACTCTTTCACATAATACTCCTTGAATTTTGAATATTGCTTTTTTGGGTGTTCCATTTTCTCCTCCAATGTCTCATTTGTCCACCGTCAAGTCTACTTTGCCATTCCTGGTCCCAGTATAGTTTTGGACACCTTTGGGTTTATCAGATTGGGGTTCTCTAAATTGAACAGGCTAATGTAACAGTTCAGATGACAGACCATTGACCAGGACACTGTATATATTAGTGTAGCTCAAATCACATTAATTTTTTTTTTTTTTTTTTTAGTACCCATGTCCCACTAATGGTTTATCTCTGGCTTTTGGTCACCTAAAACTATCACCGTCTTTCTTTTGGACCATTGCTGTAACCCCCTAAGTTATCTCTCTGCATTTACATGTGCCTTTTCACCACAACCCGTACCCAATCCCTACAGAGCAGCCAGAGCACCCTTTTCTAAACACACATCTGACTGTGACACCCTGATAT